ACTCTCACTTATTCCCCAATCTCCCTTCTCCTTATACTTTCCTGTGTTTCCCTATTTAGTGAAATGTGGTTTTGTATCCAATTCTGTGTGTACATTCTTCCCTTCTTTGACCAGTTCAGAAGATAATGACATTTAAGTGACACCTTCTTCCCCTGTCCTTTCTTTCTTGTTTGTATAGACTTCTACTTGCATACACAAATTAGGATAATTTTCCCTAATCTTCTCTCCCTTTCTTTGCTCAATATATTCCTCTTGACCTCCCTTTCTAGTCTTCTTTTAAGATCATTAAGACATGATAGGGTTCAGAGGGGATACATGTATCATCTTTCTATATTAGAATGTAAACAATTTATCTTTGTTTAGTTCCCTATGATTGTTTGCTCATGTTTACCTTTTTATTCTTCTCTTGATTTCTGTGTTTGCAATTCATAGTTTCTGTGCAGCTTTGGTTTTTCCTCAAGAATGCTTGAAAATCCTCTATTTCATTTAAAAGTCCATTTTCCCCCCTAAATATAGGATCATACTTAGGTTTGTTGGGTACATTATTCATAACTGTAAGCGTGTGTGTGTGTGTGTGTGTGCGTGTGTGTAGTATTTATCTGTATACTTTGCCTTCTGGAATATTATATTCCAAGCTCTCTGCTCCTAGTAGTGGTGGCTGCTAAATCATTTGAGATCCTGACTGTGGTTCCTCAGGATTTGATTTCTTTCTTTCTGACTATTTGTAAAATTTTTTCTTTGACCTGAAAGCCCTGGATTTTGGCCATAATGTTCCTGAAAGTCTTCATTTGAGGATTTCTTTCAAGAGGTGACTGATTAGTAGATTCTTTCTCTATTTACTTTTCACTCTTGTTCCAAGAGATCTGGGCATATTTTTAAAAATAATTTCCTAAAATACGTCTAGGATCACTTTCTGATCATGGCTTTCAAGTACTCTAGTAATTTTTAAATTATCTCTCCTTGAACTGTTCACCAGGTCTGTTGTTTTTGCTATGTGAGATACTTTACATTTTCATTTTCTTCTCCTCCTCCTCCTCAAGCTTTTAGTGTTCTCAGAATGGTCTCATCCAGGCCAAAGTCTGATTCTCTTTCTCCCTCCTACCCCCCACTCCATACCCCCCCCCCCCGCTCTGGTCTAAGATTTTCAAGTTCCTGACCTGGGTTGAGTCTGAGCAGACATGCTTGTTTTTTTGCCCCATTTGGAGGTCCAGTAGACTGCCACTTCAGGGTGACAGAACTATAGATTTTCCTTTGATTTTGGATTCTTGTCCTGGCTATTCCTTTTGAGTTTTCCAGTTGGACTGGAAGTTGGAACTGAGACTGCTCCTGGGATCAGAAGCACACACCTGCTACTGCTTGCTTCTGAACTTGCTCTTTGTTTAATACACAGTCTAGCGCCTACAACTACTTCTCACCTTGGAATGATGCCAGTAGAAGGGTCCTTCCTCAGTCTCCCTTGGATATGTGACCTGGAATTGGTCTATGAGCAACAGAGCTGCCAGTTGACATCTGTTCCTTCACCCTTTACAAATTTAGGTCCCTTTGTGCTAGATCTAAGTGCTAGATTTCTTCTTGACCTGGTGCTCCTTGTGCTAGCATATTCCTACGTGTGCTCCTGGCTAGCCCCCATCCCCAGTATCCTCAGTCATCTCTGTCTGTGTCCCTGTGCCAAACTGTGCTTTGAAAAAATGACTCACAGTTATTCTTTTTATATGTTTCCTAATCAGGACTGAATCTGGTGCATTTTCTAGATCAGTTTGGAGAATATTGTCCTTCTAAAGAGAAATAAATGTTTTCCTATTTTCTTATAAAAATGTGAGCAAATGAAATTTAGTCCCAGTTTCAAAGGTCTTATATTCTAATTAATACTCTTCATAAAATGGTAATTGTTACTAAGTCCTTTCAAATCAAAATGAGCTTAGATTGGAAGTATAATTTAGATCACTATTCTTCCTGATGTGGATCTAAACATTTGTTTCTAATAATACCTATAACATATTGGATTATATATTTCTTAAAATGAAAGGTCATTTTGAAGGGATTCCAAAATATGTCTTATGCAGATATGTAGTGTCTCCATCAGAACTCTTAAAAAGGAAAAATTCCAGAGCCACGCTGTATTTTCAGAATTCCCAAGCCAGCTATATTCATGACAACATCTCCGTGAAAGGTCAAGAGCCAATAAATTTAGCACTTCCTGGACAGCTTTTTAGCAGCTTGAGACCAACTGAATGGGTGATATTTATACCATAGACTTTTCAAAATGGGTAGATTATAGAAGAATTTGGATATCTGCCCTTCTCTCGTTGTGTTTAAATGCTCCTAACGTGCTTTATGTTGATAGAATAATAAGTAACTAAACTATAATAGAAACCAATCTAGTAGTATAGTTCGTGTTGAAAATTTATTTGTTCATGGTAACTTGAGAAGGAAGAGAGCCCAAGTAATGAGGGGGATTAGGAAAGGCTTCCTGTAAGTGATGGTATATGAGCTTATCCTTGAAGGAAGCTAGAGGGTCTAAGAGGCAGAGGTGCCAAAGGGAGTATGTTCTAGATGTGGGGGGCAGCCTATGAAAGGCATGGAGGTGAGAAATATGCTGAGTTTAGGGAACATCAATAGGCTAGTTTTGTTGAAATGTTGAGCGTATGAAGAGGAATAATGTGCAGTAAACTTGGAAAGGAAGGTTGGAGCCAGAGTATGAAGTACTTTAAATGCCAGACTGGAGGGTTTTTAATTATGTCCTAGAAGCAGTAGGGGACTACTGAGGTTCCTTGAGCAGAAGAGTGGCATAGTCAGATTTTTTTCTGTAAAGAGCTATGACATGAAAGTCCTGGGAGGACAGAGTAGAGTCTTTAGGAGGGGTACAGTGGGCATTGTAGATGTTGCGGAAAGGTCTAGAGAGATGAGGTTTGAGAACAGCGGGTCACTGGATATCAGGCCTGGCCCATGGAGCAAGGAAGCTATTTTCTGAACTTAAATGTGCTGGCATTAGTTCTTTCAGGCTACAGGTGTTAAAAGTGCAGTGGAGAAAGAATTATTTTGTACATATACTAGCCTGGGAAAGTTAATAGGCTTCCCAGAATAATTCTTTTAGGTTTGCCTTACTTGCCTGTAGAATCTGGCCCACCTGTCTGTCATTTGTTCTCAAGACTTTTTTTTTTTGGTGAGGGCAATTGGGGTTAAGTGCTTTTAAGACATCTTTTTGAGGTTGATAGGCATATTGCATTCATTTAACACATAATGAGCTTTTGCTTATTGTTTAACTCCTAACAAATTAAATGATTTGGGGGGAAGCAAAAGGAAGACATAGAAAGAGTTCAAACTCTAATTAAATAGAACCAAGATGCCTAGAGAACAAATATAGGCAGAATATTAAGAACTGCATTGAGAATGTCCTAGAGATTAATAGGGGTATACAGCAAGAGGAACAGAAGTACTTTTTTAATGGTATTTTATGTTTTCCAATTACATGTAAAGACAATTTTTAATATTCATTTTTTATAAGATTTTCAGTTCCAAATTTTTCTCCCTCCTCTCTCTCCTTTCCCCTCCCCCCTCCCTGAGACATTAAGTAAGTAATTTTATATAGGTTACACATGTGCAATCATGTAAAACATATTTTCAAATTAGCCATTTTGTGAAAGAAGAAACAACAAAAGGGGAAAAAAACTACAAAAAAATGAAAATAATATGCTTTGATCTGCATTCAGACTCTATCAGTTCTTTCCCTGAATGTGGATAGCGTGAGTCTTTTAGAATTGTCTTGGATCATTGTTTTGCTGCAAGTTTAGCAAGAGCTAAATCAGTCATAGTTGATCACTGCACTATGTTACTGTGTTCAATGTTCTCCTGGTTCTGAGGAGCCTAAGTATTGACTAGATTTAATCACAGGATCTCTGGATTGGAAGGAACTTCAAAGACCATCTCCCCTGCCTTGTACCTGCATAAGACTCTTTTCTGCAACTTTCAACATGTGGTCATCAGCCACATCACCACTGCTTTCAGTAATGGATGAAACACTTTAAATATTATAAGTATCCTTCAGAATCTTAAGAATAACAGAGTTGGATAAAGCTGATAGGAAATCTTGCTATTTCTGGGGTTTTATTGCTGTGCTCTATGGATAATTATAAATGGAAAATTAGACATGGTTTCTGGTAGAGCAGCCCGAGTAGACAATATAACTTGAATTTCAGTGAGGTTGATCATTCTTCAGCAGAGAAACTCAGTCCTTTTGTAGAATAAGGACCTGATGGGGTTATCTCAGGATCGTCGAATCATAGATTTTTAGAGTTGGACAGGACCTTAGATAGAAGTCACTGTGTTTCTAGATACTTAGAAAGGTAATTTACCATAACAATAACAAGGAAAAGATTAAGGGGGGTAAATTAAGAAATGGAAAAAATGAAGCAAAATATCTGTAGGATCTTGATGTTGAATTTCTTGCTATAGTGAGATAGCCTTACAAGGGAGATGGTTGAGAGGCCAACAGGCCATGTGTCCAAGCCAAGAAATGATTTCTATTTATCATAGGAAGTAGTCCTGACCCATAGTTAAGAAGGAGATGATCAGCAATACAGGGACTTTCCTTCATTTTATTTCTCCAATCTGGTGCCAAAAGCTTCTTGAGAAAGCATTCAAAACTCTGTCCAAGCTTCATGATAGAGACTGACTGTTGCCATATTTCTTCCTAATAATTGCTTCAAGGGCATTTCTGTATTTCCCTTCAGTCACCACATTCCCTAGCATTTAACAAAGTATAACTTACAGTAAAAGAATAATAATAGAAAAGATCTGTTCTGTAGATTTCGAGAATGCGCCTTTGTGACACTTTCCTTTCTCACCAAGAGTGAGAAGGGAATGCTGTTTGCTGGTGCCTGGCAGCCCCTCTCAAAGGGAGGACAAGAAGTTCTTTTTTGAAATGTTTGATTTCCACAATTTCTGGCCTGTGGGAACCCTGGCAAACTACTGTTTTTTCTTGTGTGTATTCTCTCTTTCAGACCTTTTTATGTGGAGCCCACAAACATCATCAGTGTGACTAATGACACTCCGAGGATCAGTGACCATGCCTCTGCCATGAACAAGCGAATTCATTACTACAGCAGACTCACATCTCCATCTGACAGGGCACTGGTGAGGGGCGAAGCCCAACTTTCTGATAATATATTGAAACAACCATGGCAGCACCCACGTGGTTGCCATTCTGGTCGAACTTTGACCTAGCCAGATGCCAAGGGCAGCATTAGAGAAGGCTAACAGGTTTTCTACTCACTCTGTCTGAAAATTGCTCTGGCCTCTGCTCTGAAGAGCAGTAGCCCTAGAGAGCCTGAACTTCATCCAAGTTATCCCCAATCCCAGGGATCCTGGGAAAATATTTCTGAAACCCCAATAGTACCTTGGGTCTTTGATGGACCGCAGTTCTGATAAAAGTTGTAACTCTTTTTTCCCTAATTGTAAAGCTATAGGGAGCCACCTCACATTTTGTGGCAGGTGAGTTTTTTTTTTTGTTTTGTTTTGTTTTTTTAATTTTGAGGGTTTTATTTTGATAGGGAGAGGGGGAGAGAAGAGGTAAAAACTCAAGGGAAAATTTGAATATTTTTTTCTTTTAGCACTTTTTCACATATTTAGAGTTTTTTGTTTGTTGTTTTAGAAACCTAAAGGATGGCTTTCTCATAGAATAATCACATTAACTATGTTAAGTGATATATGAAAACCTGGGAATTAAAAAGAAAAAATTGATTAACAAATCTTTTTTTCTGATGATGGAGATTAAGTTGGAGTGGAGAGGTGACCAAAATAATTATTGAGGGACAATTTCTTCCCTTATTTTTCTGGGCCTTCATATTGCCAGTTGAGGTGGGAACTCCCACGTTCACTTGATCTGATTATAAAGTTACCTGAACTCATGAGGCAGGACAGAACTAGTTTCTTCTCTCAGGAGCCATTATGGACCTCCTGAGGGTGCTGCTGTTGGGAACAGGCCCTAGTTTTTCATAGGATGTACTGGCTCTGAATGCATAAGATTTAGCTTCAACTAAATTAACCTTAGACCCCGAGTGCATAAACCATTTGACTTAAGTACACTGAGCCTTCCATGTGTTGGTTAACAAAGGAAGCAAAGAAGAGAACATGGTGGTGTGCTTGCTTTTATGAACTTTTCCCATCTGTGACCGAGTTTCCCAAAGGGACTTCTATCTCAATCACACTGCTTTGGGTGCAGTGAAAGTTTACAGGTCCCCAGCAAGAGCCACCCCCAGAGATCTTTGAAGAACTTGGCTCTCAATACCTGGAAGAAGTGGTAGCAGGACCCCAGAGAATACCAAATAGAGGCACAGACATTCTCCCGGAAATTCTCAGAGCCAGGCCCTAACGGTCCCAATTTGGGAAGTAAGGCTGGAAAGGGAATAAACAAAACAACTGATGATAAAGAGCTAATAGGCTGCCAGGAACACCCAAAATACATTTTCCAAGGTTGTGAGAAATGTTAAGTGTGAAATATATTATGGAACAGTGACATTTGGTTATATTTTTACTTGCATAATTTCTCCCTTTTTCCCTTATATTTTTACTTTAAATAATGAAAAGAATAAAGTTATGTATTTGGTTGGTGACATGCCCTGGACTTTCCCCAAAGCAACCACAATAGCCTTGTTTTTGTGCTCAAACTTTCCATTTCTTCCAAATCTGCCTCCTCCCCCTATCAGTTTCTTCTGCTCCTTCTCTTCTAGTCCTGTCCCAGACTGCCTTCTTCTCCCCTACTCACTTCACAGGCTGGGGTAGTCAGTTTCCTACTTGAAACAGTCCAACTCTAGTGTTCTTTTGTTCTGTGGTTAAAAGTAGCACTTCCCAGGTCCAAGAACAGTGAGGGAGAGGCAAACATCTGACCCGTTTTCCCAATGTCTGCTCCCCAAAGAAGCTGAGTTATCTCAGTTGTGGTGTCCTAGGCACACATCCTTCCTTTTTTACCAGATAGTGTAAACATCAGAGCACATAGCCACCTGCTGTCATGCTTCAGAGGAATTAGCTTCTCACACTCTAGTTCACATAGATCTCTTCATTCTTTGAAATTCTTAGTCCGTATTCCATACAGCTGTAGTCTATACCACTCACTCACACTTTCTTCATCTTCTCATTGTTTTGTATGTTACCGAGTTTGGAGATCACAGGAGCCTGACAGAGAAGTTCCAGGATCCCACTATTGCTGGCACCAGCATACCCATAGGGTCTCTCAGAGAGAGTATTCTTAGGGATGCAGCCTCTGCTGATCCTGCTCCTGACATGTCACTACCTCCCCCAGGTATAGCTGGGCAGCTAGGCAGTGGACAGTGCAAGCACACATGCTTGCGTGCTTGTGTGTGTGTGTGTGTGTGTGTGTGTGTGTGTGTGTATGTGTATGATTCCGTAAAAATAAATAAACAAGAGACTGGTAGGTGGCACAGTGGATAGAGCACCAGCCCTGAATTCAGGAGGACCTGAGTTCAAATCCAGCCTCAGACATATAACACTTACTAGCTGTGTGACCCTGGGCAAGTCACTTAACCCCATGGCCTAGGCAAAAAAAAAAATTAAACAAAAAGAAAGTTAGGCACATAGGTAGATAACCACTTTTTGGAGTATTAGAATATAAATTAAATAGACCAAAGACCAGAACCTTACTAAATGCAGTTTCTTCCTTTCTGGTGATTCTGAATCTTGTAGTGTCCAGTATTATGAGCTTTAGTTGTCATTGTACACTGCTATAGATAGAGAAGACAGAGGATGGACTCGATGTTAAGCTCAGCCTTCCAGAAGAAGCCTTTCTAGTTGCTTTTTTAAAAAATTAATCCCTTATTGTTGTTAGTTTCTTCTTCATAAAAGTGAAGGGAAAAAAATCTAACCAGTTGTATGTTCCAGGGGTATGGATTCCAGGTAAGTGTTGACTGTATATATGCTGTGCACACTGATTTCTCTGGAACCACACTTCTCATTAAACCAGGTTCTCTCATTTAACTTGAAAAAGAATATTTTTAGTTGGTCAGGACTACATGGCATCTATTTGTGACTTTTTTTTTTTTAGGCAATTGGGGTTAAGTGACTTGCCCAGAGTCACACAGCTAGTAAGTGTTAAGTGTTTGGTCTGAGGCCGATTTGAACTCAGGTCCTCCTGACTTCAGGGCCGGTGCTCTATCCACTGCTCCACTTAGCTGCCCCTATGGCATCTATTTGTGAACAATGTACTGGCCAGTGTTCAGGTATTCTGCTGCAGAATAAAGAAGTCTCATGGCACAGTGGCTCCTGGGCAGCTTACGTTTATTTTATTCTGTTCATCTGTTTGCCAGATTGCACCTGACCATGTGCTTCCAGCCCCTGAAGATCTCTATGTATACAGTCCACTGGGTTCTGCCTTTAAAGTGGAATGCTATGCTGATGGTTCTGGTAAAAACACCAGTTTGGTTACAATGTACGTACAGCTGTTTTCGGGAGACTTACTTAAATTGTGTAAGAATGAAAGTTAGCAATGTGTTTGTTTTGTCCAGATCTATTATTTCAGTGTAATAGGGAGCTCCTAGTAAGGAAACTCCCTCTACAAAACTCCCCCCGTTTCTGAACGTTACCCTGAGAAGTTAGGGCACTTCTGTGGCTATCACAAGCAGATGTTGAGAGGGAGCATTTGGACCAATTCCAAAACCAGGCTTCTTTCCATTAACACCGTATTTTAAATTTACTTTTAACTATGATGACGTACAGAACCAAGTTCTAGTTTCTCACTGCCATTTCTGTGCTTTTTTCAGTTTCATGATTTGGAATACTATGATGGGAACATCTATACTAAGTATTCCATGGGCAGTCAAACAGGTAAGGTAATTTTTCTGTCACCTTTTGCTTAAAAAGAATTTTTTTCTTTGTTCTTAGAGTTATAGTAGAAATTTTATTAACTTTGCATGATAAATGTTAAGCAATATAATTAACTGGTTAATCAGTGTTTGAATTCCATTCTTCCAAGGGTTCCTGGGCATTTAAAAAATGCATTTTTTTAATGGATATCTGTGTGTGTGTGTGTGTGTGTGTGTGTGTGTGTGTGTGTGTGTGTGTGTGTTTACATGACCAGAACATTCCCTAAGAAACAATATTTTTAAAGGAAAAAAAGAAAAGAAAAGAAATCAGCAAAACTAATAGACATTTTTTTAAAAGTCTGAAAATATGTGCAAAGTACAACACCTATAGACCTCTACTTCCACAAAGGTGTGGGATAGGTTATGTTCTTGTATCACTTGAAGCCATGCTTGTTCTTTGTAATTCTACAACATTCACTTTTGATTGTTTTTTGTGGTTTTTACCATTTATATTATTGCCTTTGTTGTAAATATTGTTTTCTCGGCCCTCCTTACTTTGCTCTGTATTAATTCATGTACCTCTTTACTTGTTTCTCTATTCATATTCTCCATTTCTTACAGCACAGTGATATTCCATTCCATTCCATTCCATTACAAGTGCAGCCCTTGGACTGAATCCAAATTTCACAGAACAAATCCTTTGATTTGTCCTGTAAAACTTGGACTCAGTCGAAAGGTTGCCCTCAAAGATCTAGAAGGCCACACGGTTCCTTGAGGCTGCAGGTTCCCCACCTATGGCTTCAGTTGTTGGGCATCCACTTTATTTCCAATTCTTTGTTGTATGAAATAGTGCTGTTGTAAATATGGGGACTTTCTTCTTATCAGTGGCCTCGGGGTATAAATCTAGTAGTAAAATCTCTGGGTCAGAAGATATGGATGTTTTAGTCTCTTTATTTGCATAATCCCAAATTACTTTCCAAAATTATTGTACTAATTCATTTCACTAACAATACACTAGCATGTCCATCCCTCCAACAGTAACCCCTTCTTTTGGAATCTTTGCCAGTTTGCAGTTCCTGGACATTTCTAATAGTTCTGGGGTTATATAATCATGGATCCATGTGATATTTCTTGGAGATTTATAGTTTTGTTTTTTCTCTTATAATTGTACAAATAGTTTCATGCTCATCTGAAATGTTTTTTGCACTGTATTTTACAAGTAAAAACATTTTTGTGTTTACACAGGCTGGATTTACCACTGGAATCTGTATCATCATTCTGATGGGTCTTTTAACACTTTATTGCTGCTACAGAGTAGTAAAATCACGGACAATGATATGTAAGAATCTGACCCAATGAAATAGATCACTGATTGGGTATTAATCAGTCATTAAGCATTTATTGATGATCTGCCATATCCCTGAAGTTCTCATTCTGCAATCATTAACTTTTATTTTTACTGATTTTTAAAAATTTTTAGGTCACCTACATTTTAAAAAAATGTTTAATCAATTGCTTTTTATAACGTAGTTTTTTCTCGCTAACTATGCCCATAGAGACTTTTCCTTATAACAACCTAAAAAGCAATTAGTCAAACCCAGCTGACATGGGGATCATATCTGACAGTATAAACAAAATTATGAACCCAAAATATACCACCTCCCTACCAACAGAGAAAAAATTTTTGTTAGATGAAAATGTTCAATATGGTAGTGTCTGCCATTGAAATGCAAGGAAGTATGTGGCTCTTTGCAAAATGTACTCATTTATTTGACACCTTGGACAAACAATATCTGAAAAATCCAATGCAACCATTATGATGATGATTATAATAATTGTAATAATAACTCACATATCATTAAGGTTTACATAGCACTTTACAGATACTGTCTTATTTAATAATCAAGTTATTTACTAGCTAGTTGAGGTCTCCTTTCAGAGTTCTCGGGAAGCTATAAATAAAGGCCATGTGGTTTCTGGTTTCACATTTTGCCTAGATTTTGTGGGGTAGACTGAATGCCAGTTAATTTTAGTATTCCTATACAGTTATAGAATTATCACCAAACATTTATAAAGTTTTCATATTCTAAGACTATGCTGAATTTATTCTTTTTTCTCTTTCAGTTTGAAATGTGACTTGGACCTGAGTTGATCATTTTGTAGTATATAAATAACTGAATACATTTGCTAATTTGTTTGCCTCTGGGTGCTATTGCAAGGACAGAATTATTTCTAAGGGCTTATTTATTTATTTTTACAATTTTTTAAAACATTTTAATTTAAAGTTTTGAGTTCCAAATTCTGTTTCTCCCTCTTTCCATCCCCTCCCCTCTCCATGATAAGGCTTATTTATAAGAGCTAAGCACAGCTATCAGGACAAGACAAACAAGAAACTTCTTAGAGATACCCAGGTTCTTCCATTATTATAATTCACTAGATTCTACCCCTTGATTTTCCTTAGACTTCTTATTAAATTGATGTCTTGATTATGGATAACTGTTTCAGGTCCTTTTACCAGGGTTGTTGTCACCAAACTCTGTCCAACTTCTAAACTTTATAGGTTTCATTGCTAGTTTCTCTTCCCAAAACATTGACCTGCATAGTGTTGTTAAGCATCTCTTGAATAGCAGCTGTATTTCACTACAGAAATAACAAAATTTCAGTAAGTGAACTACTTCCAGGATATGTTGTAAATGTCAGTTTATTAGACACTGTATGCCTTTCAAGGTGGAAAGGATGGTTGGGACTTGTATACTTTGTTTAAATATAAGAGACTGTCCTTTAAAGGAGGTCTATTGGAATAAATGTTTCCAATGGAGAATAACCCAGTCTTTTGATGAGCATTTTGAGATACTTTAGGAATAAGAACTACTATGTCAATATGAAATATTTTACTTAATCTGTCCATCTTACTTTTTTCCCTTTGTCTAGCTTCATTAGATACCACTAACTGGGAATTTCCAGATGTTTGCAAACATTATTTTGGCTCCTTTGGTCAGTGGTCTGGTCTACTATTCTCCCTAGTATCTCTCATTGGAGCCATGATAGTTTATTGGGTGCTTATGTCCAATTTTCTTTTCAACACTGGAAAATTCATTTTCAGTAAGTAATACCTTTTATTCTTATTTTTTCTTCTGTTAGTACAATAGTAGTACATATGGTATGGTATAATGTAAAAATGCTGAACTTGGATTCCAAGATGAGTTAGAATTCCACTTTGACATTTACTAGCTGTGTGTCATTGGGCAAGTCACTGAACCTCTCTAACAACCAGTTTTATCATCTGTAAAATGAGGTTGATAATATTTGTAGAAATGATAATATACCTCATAGGTTTGTTTTAAGGTTTAAAGAACATAACTTCTCTGAAGTGTTTTGTAAATCTTAAAGCACTATGTACATGTCAGGTACTGTTCTGCCCTCAGGAATATAGGGAATGTAGGATAATATCTCTTTTTTACCAAGCTGCTTAAAAAAACCCATTTCAGCATATTATCATAGGATTGTGATCTTTGAAAATGTTTTTGACCTTACATTGGACTCACATCTTACACAGTGATTAGGTTCTAAAGTAAGACAAAATCACAGATAGTCACAGTTACCCTTGAGGTTCCTTGAAGTATCTGGCTTTAGACTCCTTCTCACCAGAACTGGCTGATCCTCTTGTTGGGAGGTTGGAGCAGTATGTAGATGCTCAGAGGCTTTTCTCATACTTTGTCATAAATAGACACATGATTAAAATTCATATGTTCTAGCTGTAAGTTTAATGCTTCTTCTGGCTTCACTAAAGCCTTCACTTTTATTTAGCTAAAATGCCACCACTTTCTCATTCTGATGACATGTGAGTTAAGAGGAAAATTCCTCTCCTATAACTCATAGGTTACAGTGGGGAGGATGCAGAGCTGAGCAAGTGGTCAAACTGTGGGAAAGACTTTGTTTCTAATACTTTTGTGTGAAATAAACAACAGCCCACATCCTTTGTGTCTACCCCAGGGAAGGAAGCAGGAGACTGGCTCCCTAGCTACAAGGAGGACCTGGTTTAGCAATGTTCAGGCTAGACCTTTCTCCCAATCACAAAAGCTACAGCTGAGGCTTTGGTAACAGGAGGTACCCACAATATCCTTGTTTCTACAAGGTAAACCTTCCACAATGCCATGCAGGGGTACTAGCATGCTGGGAGATCAGTACCAAGGGAAAAGATTAAGAAAAAGAAATGTTAAGGCACATAAAGGCATAAAAAACCCTGGAACCTTTGACTGACAGGCTGGGTTTCAGGACCCTTGCACCTACTTTGCTTGTCAAGATTCAACTCAGCAGTGCAGAAAGAGATGAGATAGGGAAAGACCATTTGGCCAAAGGAGCCATTCTTGGAGTAAGCACATAAAATTAAATGCTTGTACAATACAACAATACTGTACATTGATTTTAATGAAGCCCTGTACAAATAGCTTTCCAGTGAAATACCTTAAAATAGTGTATTTCTAAACTCTAACTTATGCCCTGCTGATTTCAAGCATTGTAACATTACCTTAAAAATCCCTGGATAATAAGATAGTTTGGAAATCACTTGGGGTGGTGAGAGGCAGGGAGAGTTTGCTACAGAATTTGACTTGTAGCTTTACTCTGAGCTAATTTTCAGTTTGTTCCCTTTTAAAGCAGCATAGCATGAAAATCAGGAAACCAAGACTGTGGGAAATTTAAGTGGATCAGTTTTGCATTAAGGACGAGAAATAAATGAAATAGGTCAACAAAAAAGGTCAGGTTATTATGGAGCTTAATGACTCAACTCTGCTAGATAAAGATTGAGAACTTTAGTGTATCAGTCATTAAAGCTTTTATTAAGTGCCTGCTGTGAGCTACGCACTAGAGATACAAATACAAAAGTGAGATAATCCATACCCTCAAAGAACTTATATTCTTTTGACAAAGTATAGTGTATTCACAGATATAAACACAGGCTATGTGCAGAATTTGTACATGGTGTTTGGGGAGGGCAGAATTGTAACAACTGAGAGAATTAGGAAAGGTTTTTGAGAGGTAGCAGTCGACCTGAGCCTTGAAGGAAGGAGAATTAGGGGTTCTAGTAGGTGGAGATGGGAAGAGAGCACATATTAGACATAGGGGACAGCCTGTGCATTTGTACAGAGGCAGAAGTCAGACTATCACTTACAAGGATTAGCAAGTAGGATGATTTGGCTGGTACATAGAGTGTGCAAGGGATAGTGTTGTGTAATCAGCCTAGAAAGAGAGGTCACAGCCAAATTGCAAAAGGCTCTGAATGCTAACCAGAAGAGTTTGTATTTTATCCTAAAGCAGTAGGACACCAATGACACTTCTTAAATAAGGGGAATGACATTGTCAGACCTGTAGCTTAATAATTTATAGTTTGGCAGGTGTGTGAAAAAATGGATTGTGAGATTGGAGACAAGGGAATCAATTAGGAAGCTCTTGGAGCAGTTAAGGTGAGAGGCAGTGAGGGCCTCAACCAAGGTGGTGACTGGATATGTGCAGAGAAGGGGGACAGAGGCAAGAAACAGAATCAATAAGTGTTGGCAACTGATTAGAAGAGTTGAAGTTGATTTGTAGGTTGCTAACCTCGGTGGCTGGAAGAATAGCAGTACCTTAAATAGAAGTAAGGACCTGAAAAGGAGGAGTGAATTTAGGGGGAGAGATAACAAGTTCTGCTTTGGGCATAGTGAGTTTGAGATGGTTATGAGACACAAAGATGGAAGTGTCTAGCAGTTAATTAGAGATAAGAGAATGGAGCACAACAGAGAAATGAGAGATAGTTATGTAGATCTGAGAGTTATCTGCGTAGATCATAGCCTTAGAGCTAGATGGAACCTCAAAAGCCTTCTAGTCTAATTCACTAATTTTACAGATGAGGAAACTGAGGTCCAGAGAAGCTAAGTCACTGCCCCAAAGTCACACAAGTAGTAAATGTCAGAAGTGGGATTTGAATCCAAACTTTCAGACTTGGGTATCACATTGCAGATAAGTACATTCATGTGAGCCAATGAAATTACCATGAGAGAAGGCCCGAGATGGAGTCCTCAGCCACAGCCACATGTAGGGGGTAGGAAATGGATGGTAGTCCTGCACAAGAGACAAAGAGATTGAACCACAACAGAACAATGACAAAAACCCAGGAAGGAGAGGCTGGCTAGAAAGAATGGGTGTTTCATGGGGTCTAAAAAAGGTCTAGAAAGATAGGGACTGAGAACAATCTGTTGAATTGTGTAATAAAGTCATAATTAGTGATATTAGAGTGGTTTTGGTCAAGTGGTAGGAGTGGAAACCACATTACAGGGGACTGAGATGTAAGAGAGAGGTGAGAAAGTGTACAGGTGAACACTTGTGGGCAGTGACATGCTAGGGATGTGACCGTCACTATATGGGGCTGAAGTGGAATGAAAGTGCAGATCACACGTATTGAACTGGGAGACATACCGAGAGATCAGGGTTTTTGAGGACCCATAAACATATAAGCTGAAATCCCACAGTGTAAGAACAGGTTTGGAATAGACATGAAGACTGGGCCCAGTGCTGTGACTGGCAGAATGGGAAGCCATATTTTACAGGAGAGTGTGGGAGAGAACCGAGTACAGACACTTGTTCAAGAAGTGAGGCAGAGATAAGAGAGAGATGAAATAGTCACTGCATAGAGTAGAAGGGTCAAGATGGAAAGCTGTTTTACTATTAGTGTGACCTGGGAACTTTCTAAGTAAATAGGAAGGAGCCAGCGGAGAGGGAGTGAGATTGAAGGATGTGTGTGAGAAGAATGATTAATTTCTGAAGCATGATCATGAAAGGTGGAAAGAGTCAAGGGCAGGGAGGAGAATTGGATATAACAAGAAGTAAGTATATCTTTTCCTCTGAAACAGTCAAAAAAGAGGAAAGAGTAAATGATAATGTTGAGAAATTTTGAGAAGTGGAGAAAGGAAGTTGAGAGAACTGACAAGTGGCCTAAATCATCTGTGAGACTGGACTGGATCTTGGCATCCTACTAATGGCAATTCATAAAGTAATATAATATTTTTCATCTGGGGATTACATAATATTTCATGAACATTTATCTTAAGCAAGGTCGCTGACAGGCAAATTATGAAATCACAGAATAATTTAACTGCCTCATTCAGCTTCCTCTTTGGGGGGAAATAAATGTATTTGTTTTAGTCCAGAACACTACAATTCCTTCAGAGACCTAAAAATGTCAAATACCTCAGTCTTGTAGTTGAGTTAAAATCTGAATTGTAACGTTTCCACTCTGGACTCGTGTTAATTTGCATGGATGTATCATTTTACTAACCTTTTTGTGCTTTCAGGGTAGTAGGTGACACACGTTTATCAGATATCTATGACAAAAAGAAGCCAAGGCCCCAACAGACAAGAATTTAGGATCCCAAGGCTAGTACACTAGCCATTATTGCCTAGCAGTGGTTTCAGTGATGGTTTCAGCATCTGGATCACATAAATTATTTTTATTTTCATATTTCAGATTTTGTTCATCATATTAACATCACAGATGACATCCTTAGTACTAACGGTACCAACCCAGGTAAGTTGTTCTATAGCAGTTTTTTAAGTAGTGTGTAAGAATTACAGACCCAAAGCCTGTGACTTTCGGTTTAATAGTTGGAGGAATTCTTTGAGCTTAAAATAAATATTCCACTGTTTAATCTAGGAATCATTGTGCTTTATTGTTCTCCTTACTTCGAAATTCATAGGATACAGAAATGTTATTCAGCAAATCAAGAAGAATTTCCTGATGGTAAATAGAGATCAATAAGCATTACAAAAAAAGATTACAGTATTGAGAAAAATCTTGGCTCCTCTTAGAAAAGCTTCATTTGACCATCATAATAAAAGATCTTGGCTTTGAGGGCAGCAAATATGAGAAGATAAAACTTAGTAAAATTCAGAGTAAGTAAATGAGTGTCTTAAGTATTAAAACTTCCTTTTATATGACAACATGTGGTTAGAGGGCTGGTATCCTTGTAATAGCTCATTTGTGTAGCATTTTAACATTTTCAAAGCTTTTCCCTAAGAAGGGCTCTGTAAAAGTAGCAGTTCCTCACAGCAGAGTGATTAGGTCAAGGTCACACAGCTACCAACAGTTAGAGCCTGAACTTGAACTCAAGTTTTTGGACTAAGTTCAGGACTATTTTCTGAATATCACAACAGTAATGACAGAACTTAAACTCTAAACAAGTTAAGATTCAGAGGGCTTAAATAACTTCTGAGAGCTTATGGAGATACCTGTTATTCAAGAAGACAAGAGTTCGCAATAATTGTACTTATGTTTTGCCTATTAAGTATACTTAATTAGCCTATATGCTAAAAAGGAAATGAAAGAAAACTTGTAGACTCCCAGAACTAGCTCTGAAAACAGCAACCTGAAAAAAACCTGAAGCTTGGGATAGTACCTCCCCACTCCAGGTGAACAGAACCCAACATGAACATAAAGTTCAAAGTCAAGAATTAGGCTGTGTATCAGATTGCTTACCATCTTGGGGAGAAGGGATGGGAGAGAAGGAGGGAGAAAAAATTTGGAACTCAAAATCTTATAAAAACTGAATGTTGAAAACTGTCTTTACATGTAATTGGAAAAAGTAAAATACTGTTTACCCCCAAAAAAAAATTCGACTGGAAAAATGAACAAAAAAATAGCTTGACCATAAAAAGTAGGGAATAAGATACAAACTCAGTAGAAGACAACAGTATGAAAACAGCTACAAGGAAATTCTCAAAGAAAAATTCTAATTGGACACAAGCCCAACAAGAATTTCTGGAAGAGCTCAAGAAAGAGATAAGAGTGGTAGAAGAAAAATTGGGAAAAGAAAAGGGAGTGATACAAGAAAATTATGAAAAGAGAATTAACAGCTTACTAAAAGAGGCACAAAACAAATACTGACGAAAATAACACTTTAAACAACAGAATTGGCCTTAAGGTAAAAAGAAGTATAAAAATCCACTGAAGAAAAGAACTCCTTAAAAAGCAGAATAGGCTAGATAGAAAAAGAGTTACAAATGCTCACTGAAAAAAATAATTCCTTAAAAATTAGAATTGGGCAAGTGGAAGTTAATGACTCCATGAGACATAAGAAACAAAATCTAAAAAAATTTTAAATGTTAAAAATTAGTAAGTTGTTGGTTTTTTTTTTTTTCAAAGAAAGAAAAAGGTATATTGGAGCCAGGTTATGAAGGGCCCTATACACTATCCAGAGGAGTCTGTATTTTATCTTAGCAGCAATATGGAGCCACTAAGGGCTTTTGAGCTGAGAAGCTTACGTGATTGGACATGTAAAACTCTGAAAAATAGAAGATGAGGGGAGTGAGTGGTGGGAATTTACCAGTCATAGGATGAGGGGAGGACAGATTGATTTAGGAACTTACTTTGAGGGTTCCTATGATGACCAAGTGCTGAGTCCCCCAAGGGGTGATTGTCAGTTTGTATTGCATGCTATTGCAAAGACTTATAAAGCTAGGGAAATTGGAAACAGGTAGAGGTGGCAAGGATTTTTAGCTAGTGTGTGGGTTGGCACACTGATTGGGTCCCTCAGAAATGGACTGAACTCACACTTGGCTCTGGCTCTATAAATTCATTCCAAGATAATGGGTGGGGAATGAGGCACACCTGGAAGAGTGTCACATGGAGCAAGTTGTTGGTTTCAGATTTCTGAGTCGCTGGCTTTCCTGACATTTGGAGTTTCTGGTAAGAAACCTACAGTCTGGTGCTTTGACAGGGATGCTGTGTGAATGAGTGTGGCAACTGGCCCCCAGGATATCATATTCAGAGATGCCTCTTAAATACTACTAGCTCCCAGTTAGCTACTGCTTATAGATACACTTAAGTAGTAAGGAGAACTCAGAAAGACCTAAATTTTGATGCTGGTCCTTATTGCTTGCCAGCCGTGTGATCTTGTCTTTTCACCTTTCCATATTTTTCTCAAGTGAAAAGGGAGCAATAAGAAGAAAATGCTTGCTTATCTACCAAGCTAAATAGCACAGAGATTAGTGTTTCAACCTAGGAAGAATAGCAAGAGATACCCAGTATTTCCCAGGAGGCAAACTCTTAAGATAGGAGCTAGAAACATAAACTGTTCCTCAGATACCTGTACATGAAGTGTTTTAAATAAACAGTGTGGACTAGAGACCCTGATACAAGGAGGCAAATTCAGCCTTGCAGGCAGGACCCAAGACTAGACTGTGGCTTTAAATATATACCTTGTTCAAAAATAACATAACAGATAATTGTGTTTGGGGAAGGAGGATTGTATATTAGGAAGCTATTTAATGAATGTATTCACCAAGGAAATCTAGGAACCAGAGCAACAATAGAGCAATGGACAGAAAAACAGCAAAAAACATATCCTGTGACAATTTCATAGAGTATGGTATAGACCAGCTAGACAAGAGGAGGAGATAGAAGAGGAATTTTTTTTAACATATAACAAGCATGTCACAGAAGCATAGTTTAGTAATAATGGAGGATTTTAGTGCTCCAGGAATCTGCGAGAATTCTCTCTTAGCCAAAAAATGTCAGTTAATCAATTCCTGCCTTGCTTTAATGATATGCCATTCTTTTAAAGGCAAAGAAAATAACTTTTATACTGGATGTGATTCTGACCAACTGTAACTGCTCTCTCCAGAGTTACCATTGATCTCTTGCCAAACTTAATGACTTTGTTCAATTCTCATCCTTCTCCACTTCTCCATAGAATATAAACGTTGGTCAGTTTCTCTTCCTGAACACTGTCCTCCCAGGGTTTTCATGACCTGGTTTCACTTGATTCTCCTCCTAGCCCCCTTTGCTGGATCCTCATCAGTGTCCTGCCCCCGAACTGAAGATGCACCCCAAGGCTCTGCACTTGGCTGTCTTGTTATCTTTCTCTGCCGTCTGGGTGATCTCATTAGCTCCCATGGAATCAAGTATAATTTCTAAACCGATGATTCTCAGCTCTGTAGATCTAACCCTAGTGTCTCTCCTGAGTTCCTTTCCCACATCTCCCATTGTCTGTTAGACGTTTCTAATTGAGTGTCTTCTAGGCATCTCAAATTCAAAATGTCTCAAACAGAATTCATTGTTTCCCCTTAAGCTTTAGCCCTCTTCCAAACTTGCCTGTTTGTCAGGGGCACTGCCATCCTTCTAGTCATCCAGACTTTTAACCTCGATGTCCTCAACTCCTCCCAGGACATATAAACAAAAGTTTCCAAATCTTTCTCTCCATAGCATCTCTTCTACACTTCTCTATTTTCTTCTCCCTTTTCCAGGTCAGGTCTTCTTCATTTCTTGCTTGGAATATTTCAGTAATTGGGCCCAAGTTGGGCTCTCTGTATCATGTCTCCCCACTCCACTTTATTGATTTTCCTAAATTACAGTTCTGACCTGTCGTTCTCCTACTCATTAGACTCCCTGTCACTTCTAGGATCAAACATTCACTTCTTTGTGAGGCATTTAAAGCTCTTCATAGTTTGGCTCTATCCTTCCTTTCCAGCCTTATTGCACATTGTGATCTAGCCACAATGACTTTCCTGCTGTTCCTCATGTCCTTGTCTTTATGCCAAACTGTCCCACATATCTGGAATGTTCTGCCTCACCTCCCCCTACTGCTCATGCCTTTACCTCCAAGGTTACCTTATATCTACCTTGCATATGGGTGTGTGTGTGTGTGTACGTGTACACATGTTGTCTGCCCCATTAAAATGTAAATTCCTCGAGGGTGGAGCCTATTTTATTTTTGTCTTTGTATTCTCATCATCTACCACTGTAATCAGCACATACTAAGTACTTAATAAATGTTTGTTGATTGATTGATTCATTCATTCATTAGTAGTAATAGGAAATTGTGAGGGGGTGTGTGTGTGTGTGTGTGTGTGGCATGGAGTGACCACTCCATAGATTTTTAACATAAGGAAAGGAAAGCAAGGCCTCGTCTGATATAATGCCTTATAGAAGATTATAGCAGATCTCAAAAGGTTCAGAGAATGGATAGCATCCCATAGATTTAAATTTCTGTAAGCAAAGTTAGTGCAAGAGAGATAGGAGGCTTTCATTAATAACCAAACAAATCTAAAACAACAAAAAATTATGAAGAAGGAAAGGATTGCTGTCTAAAGACCAATATGTGTGCATTGAGAACTAATCAACCAAGTTAGAGTGTTAAGAGACACAAACAGATGATTAAAGTAAGGGTAGGTTAACAGGGTGGATGCCAAAGAGTGACATGGACCCATAAGAATAGTATCAGAAGTGTTAGAACTCAGAGTGAATCAAAGCTGGTAGTTCTGTTTGCTTCATTCTGTATCAGTTCGTACACATCTTACCAAGTATCTCTGAATTCTTCATTTTCTTCATTTCTTATGGTATAGTTGTATTCCATAACATTCACGTAACTCATTTTGTTTACTTTTCTGCAGTCAATTCGTTCTCACTATTTTCAGTTCTTTGCTCGAAAAAAAAAAAAGAGACATCACTATTATATTTTTGTATATGTTAGCCCATTTTCTTTGTCTTTGACCTGTTGGGGTATGTGCCTAGTAGTGGAATCACTGGGTTGAAATATATATGTATATATATATATATATGTGTATATACATATATATTATTGTCTTTTATAGTATAATTCCAAATTGTTTCCCAATATGGTTAAATTAATTCAGAGCACCAGCTACATTAATTCATTAGTGTCCCAGAATTTCTACATGCCTAACAATATTCACCATTTTGTTACCTTTGTCAACCTGATGTGTGTGAAATGTGTATGTTTTAATTTACATTTCTCTTAATTGTGATGAGGAACATTTCGTATGAGTGTTGATAGTTGGCATTTCTTTTTTTTTTAATTACCTTTTGTATCTTTTGGACCAGTTGGATATTAAAGAATGGCTTTTTTTTTAATATTTATTTCAGTTTCATATACATCTTAGGTCTCAGACCTTTCTCAGATAGATTTACTACAAAGATTTGTTTCCAGTTCTATGATAGCAACATTGATTTTGTGTAAATGCTTTTTAATCTCATGTAATTGAATGTGTCTTAATCAATTATGAACACCCGGGGCAGCTAGGTGGCGCAGAGCATAGAGCTCTGGCCTTGGAGTCAGGAGGACCTGAGTTCAAATGTGGCCTCAGATATTTAACACTTACTAGCTGTGTATGACCCCAAGCAAGTCACTTAACCCCATTGCCTCGTCAAAAAAGCGAAGAAAAAAAAAGATGCAGTCCAATTATGAACACCCTTGTCGCTTGTTTAAGAATTCTTTCTAAAACCCTTGTTGTACAAGGTACTGCCTTAAATTCTCCTCTAGTTTTAAAAATAACATTACCTATCATATTTAGTTTATATATACATTTGGACCTTACTGTGGTTTATGGTATAATATGTTTGTTATAAACCTTATTTCTTCTGATTCTTCTTTTACAACATGACTCATGTGGAAATATATTTAATGTGATCATACACATATAGCCTAAATCAAATTGCATGCTTTCTTGGGGAGGATGGAAGCGGGGAGAGATTTAGAATTCAAAATCTTGTAAAAGTGAATGTTGAAAACTAAAAGTTAATTAATTAATTAATTTTTAAAAAAAGAAGAAGAGAAAGAGAGTACCTGGACTCTAGAGAGCTCTCATAGGAGATCGTTTGGGGTTAAAGAGAGGGATGTCATCTATTTTATGGGGCCTGTAGTAAAGAAACTACAATTTCTCTTGGCAGGGTCAATATTTTTCATAGCCTCTCTTAACCTGATGATTTTCCTATTGCAGTGATTTGCCCACAGGCTGGAGATGGTAGCCAACTGGACAACCACACCATCGAAGTTTTCTCTGCCAACAGCACTGACTTCCAGCAGTTTGAAAAGTGGTGGAATAAATCCAGGACGGTGCCTTTCTACCTTGTAGGATTACTCCTACCACTGCTCAACTTCAAGTCTCCATCTTTTTTTGCAAAATTCAACATACTTGGTAAGCCCAAGTACCTCCTTGCCATAGAGTCCAGTCTCACATTCTTAGATGCTAATATGACCTCCTTCTAAATTCCTACTCTAACAGCTCCTTTTCTTTTCCCAATCAATTCCTGTCACAGTCCATTCATTTATCTATTCTATTTCATTTTGCTGTTTGGAACTTCTACTCCTTTCTCCATCAACTCCCCTGTATTTTTTTAACTTTTTAGTCAACATTCCTTTCCTCTCTTCACTTTAATTAAAACCTGTCTTTTCCTTTGAGGACACCACATCTCTTGCAGTCATCTTTATCTATCTCAATTTTCCCCAACTCCTCATGTCAAGAGGAGGGATTGCCTCCAGTACTACTGGAAGTCCATTATTCTATCTCTCCTCCAGAGACCTTTCCCTTTTCAAGGATTATGTAATCCACTTGTACCACTCTCTTCCCCTTTGTGTTGCTGCCTTCTACTAATATTTAGGTCTTAGATTTTTCCAGTGAATTTAGTAACCAGTTTCTGGTCTTTCTCTGCACCCCATCCCTCATTGTCATTTTTAGGGTGTTCAATACTCATTCTGATAAGCTCTTTTACAACCTGACCACATAGTTCTTTCCCTATTCAAATTCACTGCATTTCTGCACACCACTTCAGCCACATACTATCATGTTCATATTTCATCTTCTTGTTTGGACCCCAACTCTTGAATTTGATTAGTTATTGGGCCCCTACATAATCCTTCAGTTAGGTTCCTTTATCCATCTTTTTCCTCCTAGATTATGTTTCCTGTTTTGGTTTCAGTTCTCTCCATACCGAAGGTTGACCAAAGGCTGATACCTTAATGTTTCTTTAAGCTGCTATCCCAGAGTGCTTTGTCCTCCCATTCTGCTCGTTTTCATCTATGTCTTTACCAACTTTACCAGTTGATTTCTCCATTCTTGCTCAAGGGCTACTGAGTCTTCCTAGAAAGTCTCAAAATTGAGCTGATTTCACCTGTAACAAAATCATGCTGCAGAATCTCTTGTGCCTTTGTTGACGGTCTTTCTACTCTACTCTTATCAACTCCTTGTCTCCTTCCTCATGGCAACTTTTCCAGTCTTTTCAAATTCTTTTCTCACCTCCAGCTGTATTCATTCTCACTCCACCCCTCCAAACTTAGCAGATGACTGACCTACCTGTTTCACTTAGAATGTTGAAATCCTATGGTATGACCTCATTCCAGTCCTCCATTCCTGCTATCTATCTTCTCTCTCCTTTCATCACAAAAGACCACTCACTAAGTCTTGTTCCTCTGCATGGATCATTGAACTGTTCTTTCCCCAGAGAATCTCACTCTGTCACATCCTCATTTCTCTCTCATACAGCTTCAGTCTTTCACCAGCAGCTTTTTTTCATCTGTCCACAAACATAGTCAGGTCTTTCCAATCTGAAGAAAAATACTTTGCTTTGACTCTTTCTAGTTCTTCCAGCTGTGATCCATCTCTTTCCTCCCCTCCCCTTCTCTTCTCAACTTTTCTAAAAGTGTAGAAATGCAATGCTTCCACTCCTCAGTAGCCACTCTCGTCAAACTCTTGCAAGCAAACTTCTGCCCACAATACTTTACTGAAACTACTTCATTAGAAACTGCTTTCGCCAGTGATCTTGTAATTATTCAGTCTGATGTCCTTTTCTCGGTCTTCCTCCTTTGACCTCTCTTGAGCTTTTCATACTGTTGTCAACTCCAGTTTCTAACTAGTTTCTCTTCCCTTGGCTTCAGGAACCTCACACTCTTGGTCCTCTTACTTCTTTCGTTACTGCCCTTCTGTCCCACTTCCTAGTCGTCTTCCTTACCCCTTAATTTAGTTATTCCTTAAGGGTATGTCCTTGGCTTTCTTCTGTTCCCAGTCTGTACTTGTAGTTTCATCCAGTACCATAACATCAATTACCTTGGGATAATAGTTAATTCCTAAATATATATGTCTAGACCTGACCTCTGTTATGAGCTCCAGAACCACGTCTCTTACTGTCTACACAACATCTGCCAGGATCTCCCACTGACATTATAAACTTAATATGTTTGAAACTGAGCCCATTATCTTTTACCCCTCTCTAGATATGATTGTCTCTGGCATGACCTGTCATACCGTCTCTGTGACTGTAGCCTGGCGATGATGAGGTTGACTCTTCCCTCTCTATTACTTCTCATAGCCAATCAGTGGTCATGTATTATTGGTTCAACTACCATCACATCTCTTGCGTCTGACCCTTTACTTTTATTTCTGCCAATGCCATTTTGGTACAGGCCCTTATTACAACCTGCCTGTACAATTGCAATAGCCTCTTCCTTTATTCTGTACCTCTTTTAGTCCTTCTTATATCATGCATGTGGTCTGTACTCCAGTGAAAATGGATTATGACTCTGCCTCTCACACATATACTATGCTCTTATGTGTTTGTTTACATTTTCCTATATGCCTTCCCTCTCTTCTTCTCCAAAGTTCCGACTCAGACTTTCAACCCTAACTAATACTACTTCCTCCAGGAAGCCTTTTTGAACTTTGTCTGCTCTGTTAACTTGCCTCCTCAAAACTTACATAGCACCTCATTTTCTAAGTCTCTAATATAACTGCCAAATAATGTTATATATTATTGGTACTTCTTTTCTCCCTAATAGTCTGCAAGCTCCTTGGGGACAAGTACTATGTTTTCTCTGAAATTTTTTAGGTTTCCTAGTGCCAAGCACAGTACCCTTATTAAATGCTTGTTAAATGTTTGCTGTTGGGTATTGAAGAAATGGAACCCAACATAGAGGTCATCTGTCATCTGTGAAAGAATTGTTCTCACATATGCTATCCTGTCCTTCTAGTTTCTTTTTCTCTTCCCAGCTGTATGTAAATGGGTATAGGGAAAAATGGAAAGATTATTCTAGCCCTTCACTATTCCTGGATTTAAGTGGGGCTTTGGGGGCGTAAGCATAAGGTTTTCTGTTTTCTTCCTCTTTAATGGCTTTTCTTCATATTCTTCAAGGGCCAGACAAGAGGGAATGAGCCTAAGCAGACGGGATGCTATATTAAATATTAGGACAGTCTTCCTAACTATGTAAGAGCTTAAGACATTAAATATATTACCAGCGGAGTTTATACAATTGTCTTTTCTGAAATTTTTTAAGAGTAGAATGAAGACTGATGTAAAAACAAAGACCATTAAAAAACTTTTTTTAAAAAAGATACAAAGGTGTCTTTTACCAAGCCCTGAAAGGGCATTGGCTAAACCCCAAGCCTGTCCATAAAACGACAGCTGTTACTTCTAGCTGTCAGGTTCCAGTGATTCCTCTGTTCCTTTTGAACTAGCTATACAGTCCCTTAGGGTTCTTTTCCCTTCCTCCTATCTAGACTGCCCTAGAGCCCTGCATGCTTCACGTTTTCCTGTGTGTGAGACACCCTAGGCGGGAGAATCCTAGGACCTATGGTCTCTACTCCTAACATGTAATAACACCCAACCAGGACTTCATTTAGGGAGAGACTTGACATGGATAGTTTCTAACTTTCTAGCTCAGTTTTTGTCCTAACATTTTCCTTCCTTAATTTCTTGCCATCTTGAAAGTCCATATTGAAATAAGTCTAGATTTTTTTTTTTTTAGCTCACTGGGTTTCAGCTTATGTGAATGTAATAGAACCAAATTTGATCATGAGTCTAGGGGAGAGTCTAATTGAAAATATAAACCAGAGTCCTGGAATAACTTGAAATGTAAACATGTCAAAAAGAATTACTTTTCATTATTGGCATTCTCCTCCGTGACTTTTTTCCTGGATGTTCCTGCTGCTATTCACATACACTGAGCCATCTTTGCATGCTTTACCTCTGAATTGGGTCTATGTGGGAATTGCTCTTGGGTTCAGAAAGTAATAATGTTTTGTATATTCTGTTTAAAGTGCTTCTTAAATTCTTTTGTAAGGTACACTCAAAGATAAACGTTTTCTGATTGTTTCTTTCTCATAGGCACTGTATCAGTTCTCTATTTGGTTTTCTTTGTCACCTTGAAGACTATTCAGTTGGGTTTCCATTTGGAATTTCATTGGTTTACATCAACAGAGTTTTTTGTCCCAGGTAAGCTGTTAGAGCCAAATTAAGAATAATAAAATCAATATTATCTCTAAATTTACAACCTTGCTCTATGGTTATTATAGAAATATCTTACTCTTTCTTAAACTCTAGGCAGGTTTTTTTTTTATGAATGATAATATGATAAAATCAGGGCTAAAGTTGAGGTCTTTTTTTCCCCTTGATCAATTCAGAAGGAGGCAGGTTAATTTATCCTTTGGTACCTTTTCTGCTTTGAAGTAATATATGTTGGAATAAAAAAGAAAACAATTCTTTAACCTTGGGACATTTCCTGGAGATGTTATCCCAGGATTTTAGAGGTTGAAAACTTGTTTCATGATTGGCATATGTAGGTAATATCTACTTTGAACCTAATCTTCAAGATTTCTGCCCGTTATCAACAATGTTTCTGTTATAGTAAGGTCTAGATGCCTTGCTGTATTCAGGATAGTGAAGATTATGATTGTTAAGTATTTCTCCTTTTAATCTTTTCATTATTGCAGTTTTGATATTTCTTCAGTGTAATGTTTGGGGTATGATCTATGTCCTGAAAAACAGTACATCTCAGTATTTCTATGCGAGTCAGGTAGTATTAGGAGCTTAATTAGAAATAAAAAATATGGTTGTTTTCTTTACCAGTAAAAATACAAAGGGATGTACAAAAATCCCTAATGGAATGGGAAGAATTATTCTTACAGTTTTTATACTACTGTTGGATATATCTCTGAGGGAGTAAATTGTTTCTTAAGTATGGTTTTGAAATTTATTTTTTTCTTTCTAAAGTTTTATTGATTTGTTTTGTTTTTATATTACAAACATTTAGCAATTACCCCCACCACCACTTGGTAAGAGGTCTCTTGTAATAAAGTAATATAATGAAGCAAAACTAACAGTTTAGTGACCTCATCCCCATGTGTAGAATACTCCCAACCTGTTTGTGATTTTTAAAAAAATTTACAGAAATCTAGTTTCTCTTTTTTCTGCCCCCCACACTATTAAAAAAAAAAAAGAAAGGAAAGGAAAAACCTCCTTTGTAACAAATATGCAGAGTAAAGCAACACAAATTCACTCGTTTGCTATATACAAAAAATATATGTATGATGTTACACATATATATGTCTCATTCTATCCTAAAATATACATATATATTTATATTATATACATAACATGTAAATATAATTATGTATATATTCATACTTACAGATGTATATCTTATTCTCTACCCTAAATCCATCGCCTCTCTGTCAGGAGAGAGAGGTTCTGTTTCATCATCAGTCCTCTGGAATCATGGATGGTCATTGCATTGATCATAGTTCTTATAGCCTTCAAAGTTGTAAAAAGTAGTGTTGTTGTTGTAGAAATTGTTCTCCTGATTCTACTCAACTTCATTCTTCAGTTTATAAAAATTCTTGAAATTGTTCATTTTTATATTAGTGTTAATAGTATAAATTATTCTTCTTCTGCTCGTTTTACTCTATCTCTGTTCATATAAGTCTGTCCATTGTCTCCTTGAAATCCTTTTTCCTCATTTCTTACAGCACATTAGTGTGTATTCCATCATATTCATTTATCACAACTTATTTAGTTATTCCTTGATTTGTGGGCATACTTTTAGTTTAGTTTTTTTTTTTGTGGTATCATGAAAAGAGCAGCTGTTTTTTTTTTTAACATATAGGTCCCTTTCCTATTTATTTGATCTCTTTGGAGTGAAGGCCTGGTGGTAGTGTAGCTGAGTCAAACTGTATACACTGTTAAGTAACTTTTTTGTGTATAATTGCACCAATGGTGCATTAGTGTGCCTGGTTTTCCATACCCCTTCCAACAATCTGATAGGTGTGAGGTGGAATCTCAGAATTGCTTTAGTTTGCATTTTTCTAAATGTTAGTGATTCGGAGCCTTTTCCCATATGGCTACAGATAAACCTGGGTTTTTTACCTTAGGAATTGCCTTTTCATGTCCTTAGACCATTTATCAATTGGAGAATGGTTCTTATTCTGATAAATTTGATAAAATATACTTTGGAATTGAGGTCTTTATCAGAGAAACTTGCTGCAAACATTTTTTCCATTTGTTTCCCCTTTTAATCTTAGCTCTATTGAATTTGTGTGTGAAAAAACTACTTAATTTTGTAATCAAAATTATCCATTTTTTCTTCTGTGATCCTCTTTATCCTTATTTGGTCACGAACTTTTCTCTGTAGATTGATAGATAATTTTTTCCCATGTTTTTCTAATTAGTGATGTGACCTTTTATATTTAGGTGACATATCCACATGGAGACTATAAAGTGTGAGATGTTGGGCCAAATTTAATTTCTTCTATACTGTTGTTCACTTTTCCCAGCAGTTTTTGTTAAATAGTGAATCCTTATCCTAGTAGCTAAAATTTATTTTGATTTTAAAATAAATTATTACTGTAACTAAGACCTATCTCTTATCTAACTTGACAGAAGATAAAGATCCTTCAGCCCTTGTATATTCTTGTATAGCATGTTGGCTTCCCCACCGTTTCCTATTTGAAGTGGTAGTTATTCCTTTTGTACTGTGGCAGCTTCTTTTGATCCCTGGCTAAGATATCATCCAATTCCAGACCACTGTATGTATCACATCTGCTTATATGTGTGTTCATGCATTGTAGCCTAGGAGATCTTACAATGATTCTCATTGAAGGTAATTTAGGATTTTTCTCATGCATATTAACTTGATTAATCTAAAAATTTTAAATCCTGTTCAAAGCCCAGATACTCTTTTCTGAATTCTGAAATGGTGGGGGTTTTTTTCTACTTTTGCTTCTTCCATTACCATATTCGGTATTTTCTATATAGATAGGCTCAGTAATGAGGAGTAGTTTCATAAGCAGCTTTACCATTACCCCTAGAGCCATTGTATGCCCTGCCCTAATTCTCCTACAAGGTAGTAGGCACCCCAACTGAATGTGTCTTTGGGCTGGTATTTTTTAAAAAAGTAGACGAGGTAATGTCTTCTGCTCTGGGTTTTCTTTGCATTGATACAGATGAAAGACTCAAGACACTTTCTCTCCATATGAGGTAGTGTGATATGCTGATGGGAAAAGGTTAGGAAAAAGGCCCAAAGATAAAGGAATTGACAGGAAAGAGTACCAGTGACTTCAGTTAAAGGACAGGAAAGGAAACACTTCAGGATGTGAGTCTCTTCCCAAGTTCTTAGGTTATTGAAGCAGTGGCCAAAAGATTTTTATAGTAGGTTGAATTTGACTCCAATAAAAGAGACATGACTTTCTAAATGGGGAGAGATATGTAATGAGGACTTTCAGTGAAACATTAAGTACTTATTAAACATCTTCTATGTGTCAGAGAATGGTTACAAGCAAAAGAGTGCCAGTCCTCAAGGAGTTTATATGCTAAAGGAGAGATACAGCATGCACATGTAATAGGACTTTACAAAACACAAGGTGTCCTTGAAGGGGAAAATATTTGCAGCTAGGAGGACCAGAAAAAACCTCTTGCTGCAGGTCATGTTTGAGCTAAGTCTTAAAGGAAACCAAGAATTGCAGGATGGGAGTACATTCCAGGTATGGGGGACAGCTGAGGCAAAGGCATAGGGACAATAGATGGAGTGTCATACATGAAGAACAGCAAGAGTTTGACTGAAGTGTAGAGTGTGTGGATCAGGAGAAATAAGTAGTGAAACTGAAAAGGAGGGTGAGATCAGATTGTGAAGTACTTTAAATGTCAGAAGAGTTTATATTTTATCCCAGAAGTAGAATTTATTGAATAAATAGTGGTGGTTTGACCAGATGTGGACTTTGGGAAGATCACTTTGTTGGCTATATGGAGGATAGATTGGAGTGAGGAGAAACTCTCAGAGACAGAGTCCCATTAGAAAGCTATTGCAGTAGCTCAGGTGAGAATTGATTGGGGCTTGAACTCAGGTAGTCACCATATGAGTGGAGAGAAGGGGATGTACATATGAGATGCTGTGGAGATAGAAGTATGATTTGGCAACTGATTGACCAAGAAGGGTGAGTGAAATTGAGAAGTCAAAGATGATACTCAGGTTGAAACCTGGCTGACTGGAAAGATCCTGGTGGCCTCAACAAAATAGGAAGTTTGAAAGAGAAGTGGGTTTTGGGTAAACAACAAGTACAGAAGCCTACAGGGATTTCAGTTCAAGACACCCAGTAGATAGTCGGTGATGCGATTATAGCTTGGGAGAAAGAGCAGGGCTGTATATATAGATCTGGAAGTCATCAGCCAGGAAATGATCATTGAACCCATGGGATCTGAGCACTAAGTGAGAAAACAGAGAGAGAAAAAGAAGAGTATGCATTATGGAAGTCTGGCATGTTTGCACCTTTTCCTTCACTTTGCACAAATTTAGGCCCCTTTATGCTGAATTTGGGACAGTCTCTTCTTATACTGTAATGCTCTACATGACCCTTCCCAGCCAGTCCCCATCTCACCAACTCTCTGTCTTCCTGTGCTGACCTCGAATAGAAAATGATTCACTGTGATTTTTTTTTCTTAGGTTTCCCAATCAGGATTCAGTCTGATGCATTTTCTTTATCTGTGGGGAGGAACTATAGGGATGAAAAATTTCTATACTTCTTTCTGCTACTCCTTCATCTTCAGTTATACTTCTTTGTAATGTAGATTGTTGTTCATTTTTGTTTTAGTGAGGATTTGGGGGAGAGATCTAGGAATAGTATAAATTCAGAATTTTTTTTAAAAAAAGAAATCTCTGGGAGATTTTTAATACATCCATTAAATAAGGGACAGGGTAGAAAATGCAGATTACCAAACTTTCATATGCTTTCATATTGCTGATTAGTACACACTTAATGGGGGATCAATGAGTGAATACCCAAGTTGCCTAAATCACATAAGATCGTAAATCTAAATGTCCCGGAAAAAGTAGTCCCAGAAAATGCCAGTAGGTACAACTTAACACCGGGATTGCATGGTTATAGATTCCCAGCCCCAACTCCCCCAGGCATCTCAGTAAGACATATGGGAAAAAAGCCCTCTGGGATATAGATTGTAAGTGGAAAGGGATAATAATTTGCATTTGTACGTAATCACAGGTTGTAGAGAAGAAATTATCTTCTCTTAGGAATGTGATCCTTTGAGATATAATCTTCTGCTCAGAGCTGATATACTTACTTCTGTCGTAGTATAGATATACTAATGAAATGGACCTTATTTGGATGATAGATTATTAGTTGCTGAGAATCCCTAGTTTTTCAAAGAACATTACTTTAAATGACCTCTAAAATATAGATTATGTTATGTCATTGTTTTAAATGTAACAAGGGTGAATCAGCATTTTATAGCACTGTTGTTAACATTCGGAACAACTAACTCTGTCCAGTGCTGGAGGATGAGCCAATTGAATTCATTTTCATTTGCCCTCCTTGGAGAACTCCAAAAATGACTGACCAGCTGCCTGTAAGATGTCTGGCATAGAGATGTCTTATTAAGCAACAAAGGACGAGTGAGAAGCCTTATTTAAATGAGGTTTTGAAGTGAACATGTCACTGGTCTTGTTTGTCCTCTTTCCCCTGGCTTCCTACATTATTCCCATTAACTCATTCCTTGAGAGAAATGCTTGTAGAAGAAGGGTGATAGCCAGTCGAGTGCAGTTTTGCTTTGTTTTGGGCACATTGTCCAGTTTGTTTGAACAGCTTGACCGATCCAAATTGGTGGGGACCATACCACCTTTGTGGTTATAGAGTACGTATAATTGTGGTTGTGCAACTGAAGCTGTCCACCCTGTGGCAGAAATCATCATTTGCCATAAATATGGAAGGTTTTCAGACCCAGTATATTTAGTGTAAATATAGCTACTTGGTATTGTAGTAGAAAGAAGACAATAACCAAGTCAGCCTTTGCTTACAAATTCTGAGTCAAGCCAGGAAAATTTTTCCCCCCAGTAACTAATTGATCAAATAAAAATACTTGGGATAATCGTATCAATAATTTTTTTCTCCCTTCTTACATTGTCATTGGTGGGGATCGAATATTACTAACGGATTCTAGGGGCATTTAGGTGGTGCAGTGGATAGAGCACTGGGCCTGGAGTCAGGAAGACTCATCATCCTGAGTTCAAATCTGGGGCAGACACTTACTGGCTGTGTGACCCTGGGCAAGTCACATAACCCTATTTGACTCAGTTTCCTCATCTGTGAAATGAAGTAGAGAAGGAAATGGCTAACCACTCCGGTATCTTTAACAACAAACACCCAAATGGAGTCATGAAGAGTTAGATATAACTGAAACAATTGAACAAGAGCAAAAACCATTCTAGGCAAGCAGGATAATCAAAATATAATGCATCTGCATTTAGAAATAGGTACTTCAAAGACCTCTTCCCTCTTTCTATTATCATTCATATTTATTTGCGTTATTCTCCCTTTCTCCCTCACAGAAATCGCAGAAAGTGTATTGTGTCCTCTAAAGTCTGCACTCATAGTACTAATTTTTCCCGCTTTTGAAATTGAATACCGAGAGGAAAGGCCCTAGGGCAAATATCACCATTGCTTTTTAGATCAGTTTTTGAGGAAAATCATGCAAACTTTTCTTCACTCCATGATATTTTTTGTAGAGAATTTTCTTAGGAAATTCAAGCTCTTCCCCACATAATGATGGTCAAGAGCAACAACATGAAACTTTTTTTAAATTTGCGCACCTTAAAACAGCAGAAGCTACTGATTTTGGCCATTTGGTTATTCATCACATCTTTGGCCACTGATATGAGTGTCCTAGTTGTAAGTCTTGATGATTTCTCTCCTTTTCTCCTAGAGATCAGAGTTCATTTTCCACAGCTGACTGGAGTACTCACTCTTGCTTTCTTCATTCATAACTGTGTTATTACACTCTAAAGAACAACAAGAACCAGGAGAACAATGTAAGTATGTGAGGGAGTGACTTCATTGTATCCTATGTATAGACTTCATTTGTTATGTGAGTCATTTAATATTTGGAATAGAAATATTTTTGTCACTTTACCTTCATTTGAAAAGTTACCAATATTTTGAAATATCTAGGTATATGATAAGGGGGGAAGGAAACAAGCATTTATTAATCACTACATGCCAGGCACAGTACTAAATACTGAATATACAACTGCAAGCAAAGAGAAAGACAGTCCCTACCTTCAAGGAGCTGATAGTCTTTTTTTGTTGTTTTTCTTTTTTTTAAGTAAATTTTTATTGATGTCCTTTGTTTCTTACATCATCCCAGTTTTCCTTAGTATTCCACCTCCTCCTAGAGAGCTATGCCATATAACAATATTTTTTAAAGACAAAAAAAAGAGGAAAAAAAATCAGCATAACCAATCAGTACATTGAAAAAGTCTGAAAACATGTGCAGTGTGCACTTGTGGACCTCCCATCTCAACAAAGAGGTGGGTTAAAGGTATCCTATCATATCTTTTCACTGAAGTCCCATGCTTGATCTGTATAATTTTGCTACATTCACTTTTGATTTGTGTGTGTGTGTGTGTGTGTGTGTGTGTGTACATTGTCTTCTTTTCCATTTATATTGTTTTCTTGGCTCTGCTGACTTCACTGTATCAGTTCAGATCTTTCCATGCTTCTTTGTGTTCATCACATTCATCATTTCTTGTATGGTAGTATTCCTTTACATTCATGTGCCACAATTTGTTAGCCATCCCCCAATTGATGAGCATCTGTTTGTTTCCAGTTCTTTTCTATCACCAAAAATGTTGCTACAAATACTTTTGGTGTATATCAGGACTTCTTATCATTGGCTCCATATAAGCCTAGTAACGGAGTCTCTGATTCAAAGAGTATGGACATTTTAGCTAATTAATTTGCATAATTCCAAATTGTTTTCCAAAATGATTATACAAGAAGGAGTTTATATTCTAATGTAGGAAGACAAAACAAAAAAAGGAGCTGAAGAGGAAAGGTAGAAGAATGGGAATGAAGATGATTATGAGGCCCTAAAAATTAAGAACAGTGATGGAAGGATGGTGAAGGCAGGTTGACCTGGGCCCCTTCATAAAATGGAGCCTCCAAGAGGAACTCACTAATGGGAAAAGGGGATGAGCCTTGAAGACAGATATTCAGTTGTGAGTAGGCCACAGGTATGGTAGGACGAGCCAGGACCAGGACACCTAAAGCACTGAGGTAAGTTCCAGGAAAGAACAGCAGTAGAGACAAGATTTTGATGTCCAAAAACTCAGGAGCAGGGCCAGGAAGGGAATCAGCTTCTCATATGGATCTGTGATCTCTTAAATGTGTGTATTCCCTCCATGTGATTAAAAATTGTGGTCCACCTGTGCCTACTGATTCTTTGTGGCTGTAGCCATGTGCTATGACACATACCATAAATTTGCTGCAGAGGTTTCAACCATTGTGCTGGGGGCTTTATTTTAGCCCTCTTAACCTTATTGGAATACCAGTAGAGCACATATTCTGTCCATTAGTTATTTCTGCATAGCATGTGTGAAATTTTCATGACTTACTGAGAAGATGCTAAAATATGTGACTAAACTAAAGCATCTTTATTAGTATACTCTTAGAACATAATTTGTAATTCACAAGCTTCCCCGTAGATTATTTGGTGGTCCAACTTCCTCATTTTACAGATGAGGATACTGAGGGCAGGAAACTTTAAATGACACACTTAAAGTCATACAGTTACACATAGCAGAGCTGAGACAAGAACCCAGGTCATTCCAGCTACTTTTCATGGAGCAGTGTCCAGTATATAAGATCATGCTTTTATCTGATTACCCTACAAAACCTGAACATGATTGGGGGAAAAGAATTATTTGAACTTAGATTTTTGAATTAGATTTGCATTTTTCTCTAGAGTTGGGCTGGATCTATTTTTATCATGAAAGTATAGGTGCCTTAGAGATTTATAGGAAGTTAATGTTGCTTACTTTTCTAGATTTTTGAAGGGTATTTGAGAACTCTGTTTAAAATTACACTTGTCAGAGCAATGTTAATAATAAAAATAAGATGAGCTTACACATGCCTGGCTCTGGTCCTTATTAGTTCCATTAGCCACGCTGTCTTCAGGGTAATATACAAAACACATGCATCAAGTTTCTAGGCTTTGGGACATCTCATAAGTACACACTTAGGCCATTTGTTCTTTTGAAGTTATCACCAACTCATGTAGACAGTCACTCTGCCATACCTTATGTCTTTAAGGAACTTGGAATGAACAAAGCTGAGCCCTTGTAATATGATATAAAGAAGAGTACTAGGTATGGAATCAAGTGGACCTGAGTTTAAATCTCAGCTCTGCCATTTACTTCCTTTGTGACCTTAGGTAAATCACTCCATGCCTCAGTTGCCTTATCTGGAAATTTCAAGAAGTTGGACAGGGTGACCACTAAGCACTCTTCCAGCTCTAAATTCATGATTCTTTTATCCTAATTTAGAGCCACTAAAATCCACAGCCAAGTAGTATAAGTCCAAACACAGGAAAATCAAATATTTCCCTACCACAAAGGAGGAAGCTTCCAAAGTCTTTGAAAATAGTAGATATTTCCAAAATAAAATTTAAGCAGAAATATGTACTCAAGGTGATTGTGATCCAAACAACTTTTTTTTTGCATTCAGTTTTGGGGAAAGAACTAAATGACCTGGAAACAGGTTGTTATCAGGAACTTATCAAAAATTCAGCTTCCAAAATATGCCAGTATGGCCTATGCAGATTTAATCCAGTGTTTTAAGTTTATTCATGATGCTGACCCTGAGCCACTGTTAAGTACTAAGTCCCTTCCATATCAGCCACTCCTCTCAAACAGATTCAATTATGATCAGTACAACTCACAGTTAAGTGCTTCTTTTTGTATTCTGGGGTGTGAAAGTTGTCATTTCATGTCTGTCATGGTACCTCTCATTTATTTGAAATTTTTTATGAATCAGAATAAAAAGAACTGATAAGCACTCCAAGGTTTACACTAAGTGCTTTTCCCACAACTCTGTCATTCCTATTTTATAGATGAGAAAACCTATACTTAAAAAAGTTAAATGACTTGCCCATGGTTCAGGAGTCAGTAAGTGGTAGAACCTGGGCATAAACAGAGGTATTGTGACCCAACTCCAGTACTCTCTCCAGTACAGCACACTGATCACTTTATTCTTCTATCATTTAGGATAAAAGAGAATTTGTCATACTTATAATCAGAGTTTTGAGAACCATGGTGATGGAAATGCTAATCTGATGTTGGAATGATTTAGCTTTAACTGGGTAAATGAAGAAACTGATCATTTCTGATGGACACAAAATGCAGAATGAAACCTATTTTGGGCCAATACAGGATTTTATTTTGCTTGTCTGTGCATAATAGTTACAAGGGTTTCATTTACTTTTTTCAGGAGTAGAAAGAGATGAGGGAGAGAGAAAATAAATTCTTGTTAATTGATTAACAAAAAAAAATTTTAAGATGGGAGAAAAAAGAACCTCACCCTTTTCCTAAAAATTAAAATTGTAATTATAGGTTGAGCACATAGAAGTAGAAAACAGAAACCTTCAAAGATATGCTAGAATTGACAAGTTAAAAATACATTCCTAACTATTATTCCTTATTTCTCTTCTGCTCCTTACGAAGCTCTGAAATGAATTCCACTCCACTTTCCATAACACCTAAACTTTCCCTCCTTTTCCAGAAAGTTTGCATTTTATGCTTAAATCAGTCCCAGCTTTTTTTAAAGTTTAAAAACCTCATTAAATGTGCATTGCCTTGGGATCTGAAGACCTAGATTCTAATTCTAGCACTAGTAACTAGCTTTGGTTAAGTGCCTCCATTTTCTCAGCTGTAAAGTGAGAATAATAGCCACTGTTGAGACAACTTAAAATATTTTTAGGACATAGTGAGTATGTGTGAAAGTGTCATAATTTTGTACTTTTATTTTTACAAGATATTACTGCTACTAATGTTGTATCACTAGGCAATAATACTTCCCCCTCATTTATTTCTCTCTTCTTGGGTCATAATTTTGTACTTTTATTTTTACAAGATATTACTGCTACTAATGTTGTATCACTAGGCAATAATACTTCCCCCTCATTTATTTCTCTCTTCTTGGGTTTAGAGGACACTTTTGCATCTTTACTGGGGCATTATTGATGGAATTTGGCCTAAAGTATTTTAGAGAGAAGAGATTGGATGTATGCTTTGATATTTGAATTAACTATTTAGTATATAGCAAAAAATAACATCTAGGCAGTCCCTAACTTTTTTTTCTGAAAGTTTGTATGTAAAGCTAGTTTTTTTATAGTTGAATGCATTTTTCCTTAGAAACGTTATAAACTGAGGGTTACCTATCTGAGCCTCAATTTCTTTGGCTGTGAAATGGGATGGTAATACTTGTACTACATATCTTACATATCTTGCCAAATCTTTTTTTTAAGTTACAAAACTATATTTAATTGGAAAATATTATTACTAAGTTCTCAGGAAAACCCATAAAAGCCTATTTAACTCATAAGGCAGCCTAAGTTTAGTACTATTTCAAATGGTACTGATCACACTATACTAGTTCTAACTCCACATGTTAGGAACCATTCCTACCCTCTCCCTGCTCCACCCCACTCCAGCTCTTCCATCCATGGGGATGGCACTGGGGCTCAGGATTAGGGCTCCAGCAGGGGGAGGCTTGAGTGGGTATGGAGTGAGTCTCACTTATCAGAGAATTACCATGAAAATCAGGAAAGGATAGAGGGTTTGAGGCTCCAAGGTTTACTTCCAATGATTAATCCAGTTATCCCAGTAATTAATCCAATGATTAAGTTCATTTTGGACTGGCTGCTCAGTTTACCCTCATACTTTCCTTTTATAGGGATCTAGGAATTTATCTTCCATTCACACTGCCAGAAGTTCAGAGCTTCCCTCCTCTGTGTCCCCACCTTCCTCTTCTT